CTAAGGGTAGGTAGAACATCCTTCTTCACACCGAACGCACACACTGTCCCAAATATGACGTACAGCTTGACGCACGGATAAGATGGACATACGATACCACGAACATCCCTCTCCACGCGCGCAGAACCGGCGCCAACCCAGGGTAAACGGAGCACCACTGGGCAAAGGTCAGGTCCAAATTGGATCGGCTTGTCTGTCGCTGGTTTTTCGTTGATAAGCTTGGCCAGAAATTCCTTTGGATAGCCGTTGTTCGTAAATATCGATGTCAGTCTGTCTAATTCGTCCTGCAATAGATGAGGGGAACATATTCTATGCGCACGATAAACTAGCGCTTTCACAAGATGTTTCTTCGATTTCGTTGGAGTATAGCTCCCTCACGGAATGTAGAGGCCGGTGAAAGTTGGCTTCCTATAGATAGTGGTGTCCAAACTCTTAGTGTTAATGTTGCGTGATATTTGTACATCCAAGAAGGATAATCTGCCGTTTTGTTCCGCTTCCGACGTGAATCTCAACGCCGGATAGAGGCTGTTCAGAGTTAGTAGAAAAGTCCCACAGACATCCTCATCCTCATCGTGACAGTACACATCGTCTACAAAACGACAGTACATAGAGGGCCACAATGATGGACTAATGGACGCTTCACAGAACCCTACAAATATATTAGCCAATACAGGACCAAGTGGCGAGCCCATGGCAACACCATCTATTTGTTTATACATAACGTTGCCAAATGAAAACTCAACGCCAGATGTAACCATTAACATGAGTTTCACAAACTCCGTTTCGTTCAAGGACGGCGGAGTAATGGACTTATTGTGGTACAGTGTTGTTGCGCAGATGTCAATGGTCTCCCGTAGTGGCACGTTAGTAAATAAGCTGACCACGTCATACGAACACATGAATCCGTTCGATTCGAAGTTTGCGTCCCTTAGCTTTTCCACAAACTCGAAAGTATCTTTGACGCAGTGGCTGTTGTAGAGGTTGAGTACCGGCTGTAGCATCGCACATAGCCACTTGGATGTTTTAAATTGCGGCGATCCTGACATGCTCAGTATTGGTCGTAAGGGAATGTTCTTCTTGTGAATTTTTGGGAGCCCATACATTCGTGGTCTTGTTGATCCCGTCAGTGCCAGATGGTCGTACTCATAATCAGAAATTTGATGTGTTTTTGAAAGTAACAATAGGTATTTGCTAAGTTTAGTGTCGATGTTTTGTGTATGATCATATACATCGCACGGTCCGAGTCTGCAGAATTTCGTCTTGTCCTCCAGAATGACCATCATTTTGGTTTGGTAATCCTCCCTTGACATAATAACCGTTGCCCGACCCTTGTCAGGGCGGGAGATAATAATGTCCGGATTTTTCCTAAGCTCTCCCATTACTTTGAGGTGCTCTCGTGTGAGTGAAAATGACCGGGTGTCAGGAGAAGACTGCGCAAACTTGTGTGCCTCGGCAGCCAGAGACGCCCGGCAAGTCGCTGCTGTTTCGTCAGATTTTGCTGGTACCTTGGACAATTGCTGCTGCAGCAGCTCAAACTCCGCCAACATCTCCAATCGGTGGAGTTTCGGAGGAATGCCAAAATCCAAACCGCCGCACAGCACGTCCTTTTGTAGTTGAGTCAGAGGGATATCGGCAAGATTAATAATAGTATCATAATTGTCGCTACATGTGCCGAATCGGTCCTTTCTCAAGGCAGACACAATCCAAACGTGTTTTGCATGGAGCCTGGACCGTTGTTTACAGTCACATTGCGATATTAGCCATGAAAATCTAACAAAATCGAAGGTATTGAGAAGTCTTCGTACTTTCTGATACGAAGACACAAACCTCGAACGTGCATTGTGAAGTTGGCTCTTTGCCTTGTTAAGATCATCCTGCAAAAGTACTTTCTCGATAGAGATAGAGTCATAAAGCTTTAGCCGTACAGCCGTACCAATTATCGTGAGTTGTACAGTGATAATGTGTTCTCAATATTGTCACGTGGTAGATGTGCGTTGCATCTGGCTGTGTTAGAAGCTTTGTATATCCGTAAGTTAGATCCTGAACTTTGCGTACAGAAAGAAAATGTGTTGTCGCTACAATTGTTTGGTGTTACTCCTCGTCGAGGTGTTAACAATGTAACTTAATTTGCTCACTATGTTTTTGTTTAGGAATGGGTTTGCTCCCACACTGGAGCTCGCGCTATTCCGCCGACGACTTGACACTTGACTGACTCACGACTGCCATCCAGAGAACACGAGAAGTCCATCGAACCTTCGACTCGGCAAACCTGCAAGAAAGCATCACTCCCTGCTCAATACACAGTGTTTCGGGGAATTCACCCCTCATCAGTTGAGCTTGAGTAGGCTGAGGAAGATTGTGCCTGAAGAGCACCACTTATATAGTGCTGTCCAGGCACAAACATCACCAGGGATACAAACTTACAGAGACACTCCGTTTCCAGCGCGACAAACACCTCGTGAACACCAGATAGCAGCGTGAGTCAGTTATCGCTCCTGGACGGTGAGAACAGACGAAGAGGACCCTCGGTCATTCACAACGCTGTCACCTCCAAACCACCTAGTCGCACGTCCGCGCTGGGCACAACAGTACGAAATAGAGGTTGCGACTTCGGCGATGATTTTGTTTAGGAATGGGTTTGCTCCCACACTGGAGCTCGCGTTATTCCGCCGACGACTTGACACTTGACTGACTCACGACTGCCATCCAGAGAACACGAGAAGTCCATCGAACCTTCGACTCGGCAAACCTGCAAGAAAGCATCACTCCCTGCGGTGTCAGTGATGCTTTCTTGCAGGTTTGCCGAGTCGAAGGTTCGATGGACTTCTCGTGTTCTCTGGATGGCAGTCGTGAGTCAGTCAAGTGTCAAGTCGTCGGCGGAATAGCGCGAGCTCCAGTGTGGGAGCAAACCCATTCCTAAACAAAATCATCGCCGAAGTCGCAACCTCTATTTCGTACTGTTGTGCCCAGCGCGGGCGTGCGACTAGGTGGTTTGGAGGTGACAGCGTTGTGAATGACCGAGGGTCCTCTTCGTCTGTTCTCACCGTCCAGGAGCGATAACTGACTCACGCTGCTATCTGGTGTTCACGAGGTGTTTGTCGCGCTGGAAACGGAGTGTCTCTGTAAGTTTGTATCCCTGGTGATGTTTGTGCCTGGACAGCACTATATAAGTGGTGCTCTTCAGGCACAATCTTCCTCAGCCTACTCAAGCTCAACTGATGAGGGGTGAATTCCCCGAAACACTGTGTATTGAGCAGGGAGTGATGCTTTCTTGCAGGTTTGCCGAGTCGAAGGTTCGATGGACTTCTCGTGTTCTCTGGATGGCAGTCGTGAGTCAGTCAAGTGTCAAGTCGTCGGCGGAATAGCGCGAGCTCCAGTGTGGGAGCAAACCCATTCCTAAACAAAATCATCGCCGAAGTCGCAACCTCTATTTCGTACTGTTGTGCCCAGCGCGGGCGTGCGACTAGGTGGTTTGGAGGTGACAGCGTTGTGAATGACCGAGGGTCCTCTTCGTCTGTTCTCACCGTCCAGGAGCGATAACTGACTCACGCTGCTATCTGGTGTTCACGAGGTGTTTGTCGCGCTGGAAACGGAGTGTCTCTGTAAGTTTGTATCCCTGGTGATGTTTGTGCCTGGACAGCACTATATAAGTGGTGCTCTTCAGGCACAATCTTCCTCAGCCTACTCAAGCTCAACTGATGAGGGGTGAATTCCCCGAAACACTGTGTATTTAGCAGGGAGTGATGCTTTCTTGCAGGTTTGCCGAGTCGAAGGTTCGATGGACTTCTCGTGTTCTCTGGATGGCAGTCGTGAGTCAGTCAAGTGTCAAGTCGTCGGCGGAATAGCGCGAGCTCCAGTGTGGGAGCAAACCCATTCCTAAACAAAATCATCGCCGAAGTAGCAACCTCTATTTCGCACTATGTTTTTGTCGCTATTATTATTTCGTTCGAGTACTACAGTACGAAGTAGTGGTTGCGACTTCGGCGATGACTTGTAAGAAAGGGTTTGCTCCCCACACCGGAGCTCGCGCTATTCCGCCGACTTTACTTGACACTTGACTGACTCACACCTGCCACTACTTCGTACTGTTGTGCCCAGCGCGGGCTTGCGACTAGTTGGTTTGGAGGTGACAGCGTTGCGAATGACCGAGGGTCCTCGACGTCTGTCTCACCGTCCAGGAGCGACACTGACTCACGCTGCTATCTGGTGTTCACGAGGTGTTTGTCGCGCTGGAAACGGAGCGTCTCTGTAAGTTTGTATCCCTGGTGATGTTTGTGCTTGGAGAGCACTATATAAGTGGTGCTCTTCAGGCACAATCTTCCTCAGCCTACTCAAGCTCAACTGATGAGGGGTGAATTCCCCGATACACTGTGTATTGAGCAGGGAGTGGTGCTTTCTTGCAGGTTTGCCGAGTGGAAGGTTCGATGGACTTCTCGTGTGCTCTGGATGGCAGTCGTGAGGCAGTCAAGTGTCAAGTAAAGTCGGCGGAATAATAATAATAATATCCTAGAACATTACATTGGCGAAGAAGATGAACCAGGAGTAATAGTTATAGATGACCTAAGTAGGCCTCAGTGACCATGGCACCCACAGGCGTGTTGCCAAAGCAACATGGTTGTTGTTGTGCTGCTAAAACTGCTCAGCAAAGAACCCTGGTCCCAAATGCCCCCTTTTCAAGACAATGGGTGTGCCAAGCTTGCCACAGCTTCTCTATCAGAAGCTTCCATTCATCTTCAAAATTTAATGTCTTCATGACAAGAAAAGTCCACCTTTGAAACCTTTAGTAGCAATCGATCAGTGACCATGCCACCCCCATCCAAGAATAAGAACTGATGCAGTGAAGAGCTAAAAGTATACTGAGATTTCCGTTTCTCCCTGGTCTCGCTTGACGTGGCTCAATTCAGTTTTTTTGGGGAACAGTGGAGAAAAAGTTAGTCATCTTTGGCACTCTTAGTAGTAAAGACGAGTCCCAGCAGCTCTCTCAGAGGAAAATCACTTACTTTCACACCGAGGCATTTCAAATCCTCCAGGATGAACACACAAGACGGTAGAGAGTCCCGTTATACGATATCCCATTGCACAGGTAATAGCAATTGAATGTGCCTTTAATACATTTGGTACACCTTGTATAATTTTTATATGCATTCTACTCTTGTTGGTTGGAATTACACATTCAGCTGAAATAAAAAGAGGAGCAGAGTCACATGAAAATAGAGAGTCTCCCGGAGGCATTGTATTCTGAGTATGTGCTGAACTTGCGGCAACGAAACTGATCACCATCCAAGCTTGGAGGGATCTGAGGAACGAGAGAGCTTGAAACTCCGGGCTCTACGCTATGCTTTTTTTCCTAGCTCATCATGCACGTTATTAAAACTGATGACAACGCTTTTGCAATGCAATAACAAGTTCTGCACTAGGGTGGCTCGAACCCACAAGGGTCATAAGCCCATATTCATCCATGTCACATGCCTGCTCTCAAGCTGTTGGTAGCATTTGGCCAATCACAGCAGCACCGTACCAGGACATTATCAGACGATAATGCCTGGGTAAGGTGTACCCATGCTCGCTAGGAATGGCCGCAGGCGTACTACGTACGCTGGTGCTCTGCCAATTATGTACCAGGACATGCCTTTAGGGCAGTGACCTGGTACATAATTGGCAGTAAACCAGCACACATAGAACACATGGGACCATTCCTAAGGACACCACATGCACTCGCCCACACCTCACAAAACAAAGCCACTTACGTGCACCAAAATAATCATATTTTACTAGCAATCAGCACACTGATGAGGCCTTTCGTACCATTACTCTTCAAAATCAGTACATGGTGATCATGTGATGAAACACAACGATGTCAATATATACAACATATATGGCGGAAAATTTGTGAACATTCAGTCGGAACAATACAACAGTACAGGCAAAATCTTGAGATGTGTTTTGGTGCAAAATGCTCCAAAACACCAGAAATTTTAAAATGTTCGGTTAACGTAGGAGTTAACCGTTGTTTACAGTCACGTACCATTGCTTCGCTGTTGGCCTTTATAACGGGTTGCATAACCCTCCTTACGTGTGTGCACGATCTTGCTCTCTCTACATACTGCTGTGTATCATAGACATCACATGCCCACGCTCTGCGCATGTTCAGATTTCCTGTGCGCACAACAGAGCTTGCTGTTTTTCCAGTTTCCTTGCCTGCAGTCAGCTTTCAAATTCTGAAATTCTGAATTTGAGTTTGCCTCCGTCCTGCTTCAGAGTGTCAGTCCTAGTTCTGCCGATTCGCCGCCGTCTTGCCGTCTTCAGTATTCGCTTTCCTTCCTTCGCTTCCACTCTCAGCTCAGTCCCATCAGACTACGTGTCTTCAGCGGCCAGAGATTATTTGAGTATTATATTCTCACGATGGCTCGTTTCTCGACCAGACAAAAGACGCCATCGGCCAGAGTGGCAGCTCAACCTTTGGACGCAGGACTTAATGTGCATGTGTAATGGGTAGCCGAGTGGTAGGCGCGGTGAAATCAACAAGAATTACTTTTATTCTACTTCTTTCAGGTACACACCTGAGATATAATTATTAGTGAAAGAAGAAGCGGCAAAATAACTGACTTTCTCTCTGGTGCACACCTGGAGGTTGAATAGCTCGTTATTATCAAAATCTCATCTAAACAGAAATGCGCAGCAGCTTTTATGCAGCAGACGCCGTACGCTTATATACGGAGATACACTAACGATACATCAGGCAAAGCTCCGTATTAGTTTCGTACTACTTCCGTATTGGTCGGGCAGGGATACTACACCCTCCCTTCCTACAGATAATCACACCCTCGTGATTTTCAAAAAATTAGGGAAGAGTTATGAACACAGCGTCAACCGGAAGATGGCAAATTATATCGGAAATGATAACGTTTAGAGTAGACAGAAGAAATGAACTGATAACAAAATTAATCATAAAGTAGAAGCACACCAGGTTCACACGATCTCACGGGGTCAAAAGGGGAAAGAACTGTCCTCCAAATAGGACCTGAAAAACCACAGCACTCTTGCTGCACAACGCTGGCACAACCCGCCCGGAACATCGCAGGTCAAAAACCGAACTGAATACACTATACCTATAAGGGGCGTTGTCACACACATTGTCCCACGTTAGCTGGGTAAGCCGTGGCTCTCCATGATCAGACGCCTACCAAACTAAACTGGATTCACACACTCGCATAAAGGAAGACTGAAAAGAACAGGGAGACTGAAGGAAGAGAGGAAAGAAAATGCCATACCTAGAATCAGCGTTAGCGTTAGCGGCTGGAGCTACGGCGGAGGGCAAGCCAGGTTTTATCTTCATCTTGGTTGAGCCGGTCACTCAGAGCGGCTAGCTCGGCGTCAGACAAATGACCTCCCTCCTCGTCTTGAATCGTGGTCTTCACATTGTCGATAGCATCGCTTTGCGCGACGTAAAGAGTGATGGTCTAGCCAGGAAGAGTGTTGACGAAAATCTTCTTCCCACCACGGAGGCGAAGTACCAAGTGAGCTCCTGCTTTCGACTGCGTGCCGGCGAAAATCAAACGCAGCTGGTCTTGGGGAATACCCTCCTCATCTTGGGCAGAAGCCTGCCTGTTGTCGTCCTCATCAGCTTCGCCATCACTACCGGTAGTATACATGTAGGTAGCGGGTCGCTTGGAATCGCCATCGGAGTCTCCAGTGTGTGCCGTGCGGAAAGAATGGTGATCCACGTTAGCACCCTGAATGTGCTGCAGGCTAATAAGCATGGCCAAGCCCAGGAAGGCAAGAAACATGATTCTCATCTTGATTCGTCGCAGGGAGCTGCAGCGGGTTGAGCCATGGGAGTCTGGGGTCGAATCACGTTGTTTTCTTGTTTTTTTTTAACACACCGCTGCCACCAATGTAATGGGTATCCGAGTGGTAGGCGCGGTGAAATCAACAAGAATTACTTTTATTCTACTTGGTCCGACTTAATAAAATGTGCGCTTCACTTCAAAACTCAAGCATATGTACAAAGGAGCACCTGTACTGAAACATCAACCAAGAGACGGTAGATAGATAACTATTGTGTCGTTTCTTGGCCTGACCTTCTAGTTTTCATGGCTGCTGGTGTCTCAGGGTGCATCTGCAAGTGCGTCAACCTGCAAAACGTCGACATTTTTTTCTTCTCCTCCAAGCTACACTGCGCTTCTTTGATTTTTCACTCCATAGGCACGATTTAGACGATCGACTTCGCCTCCTCCTCGTGCAGCACGACTACCAGAATGGTAGCTGTAGGTGTTTTCGCCTGAAGCTCCTGCGACACTTTCAAATGAGGCGAACAAGTAAACCACCACGCATAAAAAATCACTTCTGGCCACAGTGTACCGCGCGCGTAGGTATGTAGGTCTACTGATCATGAGTCTGATCTGTGTCGACATGTCATGCAGTCAGACCATGCGTGCTCTTCCATGCTAGCTGCCTGTTTCACGAATCCACTGGCCCCGGAGACTGGCGATCTTTTGACGCATCGCGATCGCGGCTCCGAGGACTCCGCACCGTATCCGCCGGATAATTCACCTTTTCTGCGCTTCAGTTTTCCAGCCAGGTTTTCGCCTGAAAGTCGACCTCAAGGCCGGTTATTTATTTCGATCAACTAACTTCTCCACGATCACTTCTGTGATCTTGATTCGTCGGCCGCCACATTGTGAACGACTGCGAGAGAGATCAGCAAACTGGACGGAGCGATGCTGGTGCTTTCTGCACAAGTTTCTGGATGACGCGTATGCTGAAATTCTGCCAAGGAAACAGCGATTGCAGCGATTTCAATCCGCCAGGAGGCACTCGAGAACAATCGCCCAGGAGGTTCTGGTACTCCGTGACAATCCCCCATCGCAGCGGGGTGTTGATTTCAGCCCCAGGCCTTCTCTGTGTTGCGCGAGAAGCAACAGGAGTCCTCTGACGACAAAATTTGACCGCAAAATTTCGAGTCGACTAGGATCCCGAGTCGCTGCCTCCTTTGGAGTTGGAGCCATTTCTTCTTCAACATCACAAATTGACAACTGAAGGATAGTGTTAGGTAGCTGTAAAGTTTATTCCATCCTGAGATTATTTGAATTTGTTTGGTTGACGTTCGAAGCGAAACGCACATTTTAATAAGTCGGACCAAGTACTTCTTTCAGGTACACACCTGAGATATAATTATTAGTGAAAGAAGAAGCGGCAAAATAACTGACTTTCTCTCCGGTGCACACCTGGAGGTTGAATAGCTCGTTATTATCAAAATCTCATCTAAACAGAAATGCGCAGCAGCTTTTATGCAGCAGACGCCGTACGCTTATATACGGAGATACACTAACTATACATCAGGCAAAGCTCCGTATTAGTTCCGTACTACTTCCGTATTGGTCGGGCAGGGATACTACACATGTCTGGCGAAATCCTTTTCGTCTTCAACCGGCCAGAACTCCAATACCTCCCCACTCGGATTCTGTTGTCTCCGACATTGCGCCGTCAGTTTCTTCTGCCGCCGCCTTGAATGTGGCCCCTGAACCCGGGGCGGCAACTCAAACTTTGGCTACAGGCAGTAATGCGCGTGCGAGGCCAACTCCTGTTTGTCGTCAACCAACCTGGACTCCATTATCTTCCTCCACGGCCTCTGTTGTCTCCGACGTTGCGCTGTCAGTTTCGTCTGCCGCCGCCTTGAGTGTGGCCCCTGATGTACTTGCTTCAGCTGTTTCTCAGGCCGTCGGCCAGGTCCTGCAGCCCCTAATGGAGCGAGTAGAGTAGTTGGAATCTGCTGCAGCCGTCTTGCCACCTATCGACTCCAGCTCCGTTTATGCATTGGGCCATCCGCCGGCTGCTCGTCCGTCCCTCTCTGTACCTGATAAACTCCGCGGGCGAATTGAACGCGGCGAGTTTATTGATTTCGACGACCTCCTCCCGGGCCAGCTGGGTGTGGAGCCTGATGTGGTCCAGCTAGCTGTGGGGGCCAACCGCTCTGTCCAACTTGTACAGAAACCAACTCAGGTCCAGCACCTCCATGTCCACGATGTAGCGTCATGGCTCGAGGCGTTTACAGTTTACACGAGAGTAATTGTCGCGGCGGCTCCAGATAGGGCAAATGATTTGCTGGCATATCACGCCACTATTCTGGATGCAAATAACTCGTATCACGTGGACGCATGGCTAAGTTATGACAGGC